GGAAACCTGGGTACCACAAACAGTTTGCATAGAAACAAAGATGGCAGGCGCTTGCCTTCTCAGTTTTGCAATGTCATGTTCATTATGTAAGTTTTAAAGAAGTAAAAAACTTTATCAAGATGTTGTAAATGTCATTTCAGAAGAATTACTGTTTTCTCTGAGATACGTGTGAAAATCGCACTTGGTAAACTGGACTCTCTAGATCCTCTTTCTGATGTCAGGAGTTAAACAGGAGGGTATGGAAGAGGGTTAGTAGCAAATTTGAAAGCCACTTTGTGTGACTAACGAATACAGTGCCTTTGGGAAAATTTGGAGTTGAAAGGAGAGTTCAAGAAACGAACAAAGAAAGGTGAAATGGATATTTTTCATTGTGTCTAAATGAGTTCGGTTTTAATTTTTACCAAGTGTAGCCGATTGTCCTGCAGCTTACATAACGGTACCCTGCTTTTGTAACTTTGCTTTTTATTAGAGAATGAATCATCGATGAACAAATTGTCTTTACCTTTGCAATATACCGTAACAGGCTAAATTCAATGAATAATATGAATCAAAACTGTTTATGAATGATAATGATAATAACAGTAAACAACAATAATCATGAAAATAACAGTAATGACAGTAAAAAATACATGATAATAATACGGCTGGTAATAATAATGATGATAAGGAGGATACTAGCTTGAAAAACTGAACAAAAGGGATCAGATACCTTTATTAGACATTGCAGTGCCAATTTCTCCCAAGTTAGGTGTTGGAAATTCAATATTTGGAGAAACCTGGTCAGACTTAACACCTGAGCTTTGCCAAGTGCCACAGGTTAGCCGTGGTACTGACATATTTACCAGTGTTTTCATATATTTTAGCATGTCAAGGAATGCCGAGGAAACCAACAACATGCTGGATAGATGGGCAAAAGTTTTTGACAAAAGGTTTGTAAATATCAGCCAATCACAGAGAGGAAGTATAATTGTAGACTGGTCAAGGGTATTGTGGATGATGAGTATATATGCTACCCATGCCCAAAATATATATAAAAACACCACAATTGTTACAAAGATCTCTGTTACATTTTTTATGCCTCTCCATTATGCTTCCCTTGACACCCCATGTGACACATCATGCATCACAAGTGTTGTTTACACTCTAAAATGTACAAAGTACATGTAACTGCCTTAGAGCCCTTTAGCCAACAGACATGAGCTAACTTAAAAAAATGTCACAACTTGCTACATGATGATTGAGTACAGGTTGCTAGATTGGCAATCATCCTGTTAAAGAAGGGTATCCAAATTCCTGTATGCCTAGGGTTGCAGAAAATAACACTAAATACCACTTAATATGAATATAATGAGTGAACTAATTTTATAATCTTTCACAATGATTTCAATAGTTACTTTAATGGAATTTTTCTTTGAAACTTTCCGTTACTTTCCAGCTATGTGTTTTGGTCAGGTATCATCCTTTTTTAACACTTTGGTAACATAGTGATAAAAACTCAGGGTTAATTTTGTCCTTTCTGTTGTTTTTACAGCCTTGCAAAGCCAGTACCAAAGACAGTAAGTGTAGTAAACTGCAAACTGTATTATACTGTTATAATGTATATTGTTATTGCTAACTAGAATATTAGTTTTATACTCATGTGGCTTACAAATGGATCTCGTTAACTTTAAAAACTAGAGTTAGTTGTAGTTACATATAACTTCTTTGATCAGCTCTTCCTTCACATGTAGGTTAGAAGTCTTTTGAAAGGCCTGATATAATGATACACTGCAATGCAACAGATGTTAAAAGACCAGATATCTTTCAAATTTCTAGTCTAAGAAATATTCCTCATTATAACAGGGTTGAGTGTCTACAGATTAATTTTTGCACAGATTATGACTCTAAAACCAGGTACAACAAGTGTATCAAAATTGACCTTTTGAAAATTTGAAAACTAGGGATGGTGTCTTATAGCATTGTCCAACAAGGGCCTGGATATGAAGAATGCCTTGAGGTTTAATTGTTTTAGAGACAGAGAGGTAATGCACAGAAAAAAGATAGGAGACATATGGCCAAATGGGATCCTTTATGAGTCATTCTGTTGTGAATACAACACCTTTGTTGCAAATGCAGTCATGAAATAATGATTAAATGATTTTGCACACATACAAAATTGTCTCTAATTTGGAAGTATTTTCATGGACATTTTGGTTTTGTATGGTCTCTTTACTTAAGAAAGAATTTGTAGAATAATGGTGGTTCAATTGTATTATTGGATTTAACATTGTGTTTTGTTATTTTTTAGTTAACCCTTAAAAGGTCAAGCACATTGGAGTTAGAAGATGTTCAAGAAGATGTTATTGAAGACATTGACATAGGTAAAGGCTGCATAGACCTCTCTTGTCAAGTAGTCCCCCTCCCCAACCTAATAGGGCCCCCATTCCCCACCAAAAAAAGCCCCTTCCC